AAAGGAAGGTGATTAGCTGTTGTTGTCTAACAATAGAGAAGTGTCAAGATGCCTGCAAATGAATTAAGAGTGTACTGGATGTCTCTGGGCTGTTGTGGGAGCACACCTCATTTAAATTCCAACCTGTGCTTTCGCTGATTGTAATTCGGATTGCACGTTTTAAAAACGAGATTAAAGCAAATTGAAAATATCTATAATTTCTCATCATAACTTCCCAGCCAGAAGACCGTGGCTATACTCCTAACAAGGCATTCATCCCAGCTTGGTAAAATCCTCCCTACTACGAGGGGGAAGTCAGCAAGGAATAACTTACCCCAAGCGATTTTGACTACTACTAGGCTTTTATTTATTTATTTATTTTTGGCTTTTCTTTCATTCTTCCATCCAATCTGCTTTTGCTAAGTGAGTTTCATTAGTTTCAAAAAACACATTTCTTTGTGGGTTTTTTTTCCAGTTCATTCTACAGAATCCTGCAGTTCTTCAAACAATACGATGTGTCGTAGTAAGCCTTGCTATAAAAAAAAACAAAACAAAAAACAAGTTGCCTATGTGCAGCTAGGCTTCTCTTGTAACAGGATGAGGGGATTATAGGGATTAAGGTATCCACTTTAGGTCCAAAGTTTCTGGGAGTGAATATCAGTCTCCAGCAATGATGTTTCAGGCTGTGTTCTTTTTAATAAGGGACACGAATGCCATTGATCTCAGGGATTTGTCTAAACTGACCTATCTCCTGCTCTTGATTAAGTGACATTTTTTGCAAAAGCTCTCCTTTTCTTCATGATGCTATGACTGTTTTCAATACATTTAAGATATAGTCCACTCGTATGGCCTACTGCTAGAGAAAGAGATGGAGGCTACTGTTCTTAAATGCTTGTGTGGAGCTGGTATTTCTGTGCAGTTTAGTCATCCTTTGCATTTAAATTCTTTTGAGCGAGAAACTCCAAGCATCAAAGAAGAACTCAAATTCCTGCTACCGATCATCCCTTGGAGAGAACCAACCTAGAACTAAGGAGGAATTTCCTGACAGTTAGAACAATTAATCATTGGAAAAATTTGCCTCCAGAAGTTGTGGGTGCTCTCTAACACTGGGAGTTTTTAAGAAGCGATTGGGCAACCATTAGTCTGGAATGGTATAGGGTTTGCTGCTTAAGCAGGGGGTTGGACTAGAAAACCTCCAAGGTCCCTTCCAACTTCGTTATTCTGTTTTTCTGTTGTGTCTGTTCCCACTGCCATTAAAGCTTCTGGGAGTCCTCAGTACCATCAGAGACTGTAATTCTACATCATACCAGGGACTAGAGGCTGCCCAACCACCTGTTTTATATTCATGAGAAGCAGATGGCAGTTGGGCCATCCAGAAAAGTCTACTTTTCCATCTGGCCAATGGAAATTTTGGAACAGATGATACTTATTCTCTGCTAAGCAAGGTTATGGAATACTGATACTGAGAAGGCTCACCATTAGCAGGGAAGAGCAAAACAAATGGAGCCATAATTGATGGTTGCAGATTCAAACACAATGTTGGGCCTCCGATATGTTTGAAATTTGCACTCAGCAATGTAACAGAATGTCTCTCTCCTTATTCAAGATGTCTTAAATTCGTGAGTGATGAATTAAATAAATTTTACACATTTTAAAGGCAATATCTTCTTCCCAATTGCTCCACAGGCATTTGGGATGACTCCTGGCATGAATAATGTTGATTACATCACAACAGATGCTTGCTTTTAGACTGTCACCCTGTATTTACTTTCCTGGAAGAAAAATTGGTTGAACATATTTCGAATTTACTTCTAGGTAACTTCACCCAAAAACACACTGCTGTAATAGTACTGAGCCCAAAGACTAATTATGTGAAGGTTTTTTCCCCTGTTTTATCTCCTAAAATGTTTAACCAGTAGGTACAACTGATTAAAAAAATATATAAAAGCAAATCGAACCATTAACAGAATAATGACTCCCAGTAAACACCAGAAATCTGGAAAACAAATAATATACAGATAACATAAACCAGCTGAACAAGTGTGGGGAGTGCAATGACAATTTTCTTTAAGTTCTATTTACCAAAGGCTCAAGAAATGGAATTATTCTATGGCAAATGACAGAAAATGAAAATGGTATCTGATGAATGAATTCCACAATCAGGCCACAGCCACAGAAATCTGGCTCGCTCTTCCTCTTGCTAGTACTCCAGAGTGGTTGACATGATTCCTTTTCTTGTTTGATTCACAACAGAAACCCGTGGAGATGAGTTAAAGGCAGATAGAGGTGATGGAAGATACAAAGATTTGGCACTGTGGAATGCTGTAGTCATAGGCAGGTCACTTTATGGAAGATGTAAAACATTTGACACTGCAAAAATGGTGTGGTCATAGCCAGGCACAAAATTAAGATCTGGGAAGAGGAAGGTGGAAATTTGAGTGATAGAAACTTGAGAACTTATCTTTAATGAATCATCTTCATTCTTTACCACTGAAACAAAAGCTCTGGTGAATGACAAGCATTATGTTGTTTCAAAGGATAGAATCCTATCCATTCTTTACTGGTTCTCATTTGGTTTCTAAACACCCAGTACTGTAGTTGCTAGCTGATCACTTCACTGTTGACTTGGCCTCTCCTGCCCAACCCACTCTTTCTCTTGGTTCCGTGCATCTGGGAACAATCATGGGAGATCTTGAACTGCTCAGAAACGCAGGCAACTGTTTTAAAGTGTTACGTGACAGAAGATCCTCATTCCACAGTTTGTCAGTCTTGCTAGCACTGCGTGACTCTGCTGAGGATCCTGATGAATCCTTACATTCCCGGTCTTCACCGCACCAACCTTCACACCTAACTCCTACTCCATTCCTTAATGTTCACCTGGTTCCTGCATTTCTTTTTCCTTTTCCTTGACTTTGGATGTCTTCCGTTTGGACCTCAAGACATCGCTGCTTCGGCAGTGTCATGCTCAGAAGAGTTTTCTACATCACAGTGCAAGAACATTATAGGCTTTGTCAGGTGCTTTAAGTCTGCTTTTTCAGGTTGATTCTTCCTGACCCACCCACTAGCAGGGCACATGCCTGTATCGCAGCGTGAGCTGCCAAGTGGAGCATAATGGAGCACCCGCCTCCAGCAAATCTGTGTCAGCCAGAACACAGTTGGGAAATAGAGGCAATCTGGCACAGGCAGAACAGAAGGAACCGATCTGCTAGATGACAAGGGCCTCCTGTTTCAAATGTGACTGTTTGACAACTTAATTTGCAGTACAAGAATTAACCCCATTCTCAAAACTGTCCTGGATTAGTTTAATTAATGACTTATTTGCAGGCTGATGAGCTCGGTGTTGAAATCGCTGGTGACTGGGTTCATAAAGGAAGCCCCCCCCCGTAAAATTGTGGAAATTTTCTTGCTTATAAACAAGGTCATAGGCAATTTAAAACTGGCCTTTGATGTCTGGAATGTGCCATAGCTAATGAGTGCATATAAAACTATGTTTAAGTAACCGTTCTAGAAACTGTGTGTCAGTTTACATTTACAAACATTACAGTACAAACAATAAAAACTCTTCCCAACATGTACCTAGTAAAAAGCTTGGGAAAACTCTTTCATTCTCTAGGTATGTGAAGATTCATATCATCCCATATCTGTAACTGTATTGAGTTTTAACAATTCATTCGCCCGGTAATTGTGCGGATGACATTTCTATAATTCCTTGTAAAATGTGTGAAATCTCTCTCACACACATATACATCTTTTTCACTCTATCACACACACACACACACACACAGAGAGAGAGAGAGAGAGAGAGACAGACAGACAGACAGACAGACAGACAGACAGACAGACAGACAGACAGACAGAGATGAGAACCCAATATTTTTTCCTGGATTTTTGTGAAATCTTTTCTTACTATTATATGGGTCTTCAAATAGTTCTGGATCCCAGGGAAGAGAAAAGATGAATCTCTTTGAACAGCAGCTCCGTGATTTTGATGGAATTTTGTCATAGTTCTACAGACATATTCTGTGTCTCCAAAAACTATCAGTTCTTGGGTTCCTAGATAAAGACCACATACATAATTCAAGTGAAATCAGGCTACGATTAGGCTTTGTAAGGAAACCGGTGATGCACAACATAAGAAAATAGACCATGTCTGCAAACCACCAATTACTTTTGTATTTTGCTTCTCTTCTGAGAAAAAGGAGAAAGAAAACATTGGAGCTGGGAGGCTGGCAGATCTACTGTCTAATCACGGGTTTACTTTTATAAGGAGTCTTCTTGGGCTTTGACAAAAGCCACTTGCCTCCTATGCCTTGAGATGCTTAATTTGCTCCAAACCCAAAATGCATGTGCAAATGGTTCTGGGTTATTATTTTTTTCCTAAAAAAGAAAGTAATACAGTTAAAGAAGCCTGCATTGAGGATCAAGAATTGCAAAATAATTCTTCCCTGAAAATATCAAGAGGATTATAGAAGTTTGCTCCTTATTAAGCACCATGATAATAGAGCCCCTGAAATTTGTCAGTTCAAATGTCTTAATAAAATAGTAAAAAAATGCTTGCAAGGGTCATATCCCTCAGGCAGAAAATGGCCTCAGATGTCCCTGATCTGTGCAGATCTGCTTTTTTTTTTTTTTGCTGTAAAGAAGATAAGTAAGGATGCCTTTGGCTTCCTTACTTATCTATTCTGCTCAACAAATCCTTTGGATCTATCCTGATATGGAAACAGAGATACATGGCAAATGAATGACCTTTCCACAGTCAGTTGGGGAAGAAATTGCCAAACAAGTCGTAATTGCTACCCGATTTACCCTGCCTTTAGAGCTATCATTCCTTCAAGAAAAGGAATTTCATTGTTGGGCCATTAGATTTTAGACACTGAAGGTCAAATAGGTATCTTGGCTAGTTACCACACATCCATACATCACAACAGCAGAGCAAACGGGAGCTTTTCTTCAGAAAGACACATTTCTGTACACAAAACCATGAAAGCTAATAAATTGGTCATTGTGCTTTTTTTTTACAGATCCACCTCTCGTCAATCTGTCAGTAGAACCTCAGCCTGTCCTTGAAGACAATACAGTAAAGTTTCACTGCTCTGCCAAAGCCAATCCAGCAGTTACCCAGTACAGGTAAATTCGTAAGTTTGTAAGTTCGTCTGGAAATAACCATCATTTATCCTTGCTTGTCTGAATGTTTTAAACTGCTTACAACCATAGAAATGCTTGCTACTATTTCTGTTCCCTTGAGTGTGTAAAACAAAACTGTTTAATAATTAAAGCCAACTCAATCACTGCATTTGACTTAAACATTAACTGGGCTAGGAAGTTATAGTTTTCACTGGATGTTACTCTACTTGCAGGCAAAATAGGAAACATAAGGAGTAGGTGGGTTGAGTTGCTGGGAAGATACTATTTCCAAGAAAATTAACAGTATTTTTTTTCTTCTATATCTGTTTGTTAGTAGACATTTTGGAGAAAAAAGTATCCACAAGTATATATTCCAGGAACTGAGAATCAGTATTAAGCTTAAGCTAACAATGTGTATCAAGAGTCATGGTCAACACTATATAAATCATGGAATAGAATTATAGATTCTACTCAATTCAGTCCATATGACCAAAAAACTATTCTGATTATGTAATTGGAAAAATGAAATGTCGATTCTATGCATAGATAAACTCAGATCTTGGGTACAGTAAAAACCTGGACTTCAGTTCCTAGATTCTTAGCATTGTTCATGCTAACTGGGATTCTTTTTGATGGTTACACAACTGGAAGGCACAGATTAGTAATGTTGCTTTAATGGGGCAAGGAACATTAGCAGATATCATCCTCTTTGAATCAAGGATACCTGTCAACAATGCTCAATTTTCCTATTTTTTCATCTAAATTTCTTGCAGCTTTGGTACATCCTGGTGGTCTCTCTTTCGAGCATAACTATATTTGATTTTGTTGAGTTTGTTGAGTTCAGCCAAGGTTAGTTAGATGCTGCTTCAAGATGGGAAATGGGTTTTTTTTTCAGGCTTAGTGAAGGAGATGACCAGGCTGAGCCCAAGGAAGGGGTCAACCACATCATCAGTCATGAGTCCCTTCATGCCCACAAGAGATCTACCGCCATTTTGTTCAGGCCATTGTAGAGAGCTTAAGCTTGCAAAAAATCTTTATACCCATTTGAACTGCCTGGATCTCCTGATTTCTCTTGACAGTTGGGAGCTCTTCACTATTAAGATAAACTTTCACTTGTAAGCCCCATTGCCCTATTCACTACATGCCTCACCAAGTCTAAAGCTCCTGACAGCACTTCTATGGATCATCCATTGAAAGTTGGAGGTGCTTAACTGGTTGGGAATGTCTCTGTTTTCATCCAGACATTCTTTGAGTACTGCTTTATTAAACCATTTATAAGTACAGACTGCAAAAGAGCAGATGTAGTGGGGGTCTGTTGTTTTAGTCCAATTAACTGCGTGGAGTATGGAAGACATGCTCTTCTCCAGCAGAACACAACACACTTCTGCTGATTTCTCACTTCTGTCCCTAGGCTGAGCAGATAAAGCTGGTGACAGGCCCACCAAATGTTGCAGTGGAAATTCTTTGTGTTGATGATGTTGTTAATTCAGTAATGAACTCCAGTTGTGTCAGCTTGGTAACAGTCTGTGCATTTTGTTGAAGCTACTACTGTAATACATGTGGCAGCTTCTTCCTGATCTAACATACTGAGGTTTAGAGAGCAGTGATGGTGGACAAGCAGAACCATCTGTTCAGAGATGTAACTTACAGAGTTCACATGCTGAATGTGGGCTCTGTTTTGGAGAGGATTGCTTTATTATATGTTTCCTGCATAACCTTTGACTTCATGACTTGGACTTCATTTTATTTGATCACAGCTTTCAGTGTTGTTTCTAGTACCTACAAAGTGGCTTTTAAACTTTCCTCCCAGACTGTTAGATCTTGTCATTACCTCTGGGAGATCCAGATCTATGACTCTTCAGAAGCTTAATAGCTGGAGCTCTTTCTTATGGTAGAACAAGGATATGAATTTGGCCAATGTTGAAGGACAGCAACCACACACAATATCTTCTTGCTGTCTGGAGCTCCAGTCCCATTCACATAAAAGGTCCAAGTATCACTTAGGATGGTACATACATTAAGAGAAGAAGTAACTTGCTAAGTTTGGTTTATCCATTGCTTGCCTGACTCCTTGATGATGAAACAAAGAATAAATATGGCAGTGGCTTATATACATTTCAGCCTGGCCACCAGCAATTACATTCATTAGCTTTCTTTTTTCTAAGAAGGTTCTTGAGAGGTAACAACAGTGGTTCTCATATTCCTGGGCCTCAGTTCTACAATTTCATGAATCTGTATTTCTCAAACTGGGAGTCAGTTAGTATCTTAGGAGAGCACATGGTATTTTTTTGCTCACCTAAATGCTATGTAAAGTATTTAGTAACTTCAAATATTCTTGCCAATGTCTTTTTAGGATCAATTTTATTTTATACTTAAAAAAAAGGAATATGTATGAACTTGGGCCCTTTTAAATTGTTGGAGCCCTTGATCCAGTTTCTGTTCCTCGTTATCAGTTGCCTTAGCACTATTGTTGCAACCGGCTAGCAGAGTCAAAGAAAATGGGAAGAATCAGAGAGAGAAGATTCGATAGGAAATGTAGCATGGGTGGGTTTGTTGTATTTCACTAAAATTAGAAAGTAACGATAGTTGTTGAGTCTTAGCTGCTCTGGTGGAATTGCAAAACAAGTAACCTGAGTTAAGAGAAATACATCAATCAAGGTCCTTCTTTATTTTGGAGGGAAAAAAAGACTTGCCAGGAATTTGCCTTATGTCAAGAATATAATCGTATTTTTTCATATAAGCTAGATGAATGCTATAGGTTGTGGAGAGAGGAGGGATTGAACAATGCTGAATGGATTTCTGCTGTAGCATAACAAGTTCATTAAATTTTGTGGGCATATGGATATGACAGATAAACTAAGCCAACGGAATCTGCCAACTGTTTCAATTAATTTAAATAGGACAGCTCTTGAATGTATGAAAATGACAGAGTACCAACAGACACTATTCCTTTAACACTGTTATCGGTATGTAATACATTTGAAGATTGCCTAGGCAAGACTCTTGCCATGAGTCAAGATTTCTGACATCTAAACAAAATAACATCAAACCTCCATCCTGTAGGTAGAATAATTGGAAATTTAAAAAAAAACCAATGTGTTTGTGAGATTTAATGTTATCTAGTAGTAACTAGATGAAAAAAATTTTTTAAATAATTATGGATCGGAATATTTCTCTGCTAATGTGGACAATAAAATAGACTGGACCTACGTTGATTTATTGATCATTATGCTTTGCTGTTCCTATTCAGAAGCAGCATAGGTTTTAATTCATGGAAACTGGTTTCATCCTTTCTATATAAGGATGGTATGAGAGCAAGCAAAGCCTCCCCAGATCTTGGTCACATCAGTTGATGACTCATTCTTGTTAAGCTTTCCCCATCCTTTCCTTCAGCATAGCTACAGTATACATGCCTGTGTCTTCCCCTGCTTTGTGATGTGCAGAAGATTTCATGCAGAAATCTGTGCTTGTGTTTGCAATGAGGTTGAGGTGCTTAATTGTTGCTTATTCAAGTGCGTCAGAGCATTAGCTCCAAAGGTCAGGACATATTAGAGAGACATATTAGTGAGGAATGCAGTCTAAACCTGTGGTGTTGTGGCTGTTCCAAAAATGAAAACCTTGGTGTAGCACATCCTCCAGCTGCATGTTGCTAGAGGGACTATCTTTCCCAGAAGTCTGCGGGAGACTTCACAAATGTTATTCTTGAAGTGCCCTGTGTCCTTTTTCAACTATCTTGGAAGAGCTGAGGTCAAGAACTACCAAATTGAACGTGTGAGGAGATGGGTGGTAGTGACTCAGGATGATTGAAAATAGTTGCAGGCAGAGCAGTGGAAAAGAAATTGCCCTTTGCCTTGGAGAATCTCTCTGTGCTGGGGGAGAAAAAAAAATCACATAGCTGTATTCTAAGAAGTGGGATAAATTGACTGTTTGGTATTCTTTGATTCCCCAAATCGAAGAAAGTTTAAGGAGGTGACGGAGGTCTGCTGCTAGTTGATTTCAGAAGCTGTAGTTGTGCTCAAGAGGGGAGTCACGGGTTTCCTGTGATCTGCTACTTGCTGCAAGGTCACTTCAGGACTCCTTGAGTAGCCATATGACCCTAATAGTGCTCTGGACCTCAGCTCTAATCTCAAGCCTACCTGTCCTACTATGTCCCCATTTAGAGTGAGTTACAGTCCATTTGCAAGTCCTATAAAGGAGTGAAAGGAATTTTCACATGCAGATCGACTGGTTACAAGAGCTTAAAGAAGATCTGGGGGAGAAGGAAAGATTAAAAGAAGAAAGAATTAAAATAAGAACGCAGGAGGAACATGGAAGTAGACCACAGAGATAGAAATGTATAGATTAAAATAAGAATAGTCATAGAATAGTAGTAAATTTAGCATAGGAAGTTCTCAGACTTGCAAACATCCGTTTAATGACAGATCAAAGTTATAGTCACTTATGACCAGCCCATCGTGGCATTCCCCACAGTCATCTGATCAAAATTTGGACATTACAACCATTGCAGCATCTGGCCTTGTGATTTGCTATTTTCCAGGGGGCGTCCAACAATCAAAGTCCTTGTGTGACTCACCTGTATGTCTGTGCACATTCTCAGTCATCCAGGTCATGGGTGACCCAAAGGTGTTTTTTCAAGAGGCAGCTGGAGTTTGTTTTTCCTAGAAGACGTTTTACTTATCATCCAAGAACTTTCTTCAGTTCCTGAAGAACTGAAGAAGATTCTTGGATGAGAAGCCAAACGTCTTCAAGGAAAAGCAAAGAAAATCCAGTTGCCTTTTGAAAGAAGCACCTTTGGGACTTGCCTCTGTATGCTTTGCATACTCAGCTCAGGATGATGGGATTGCAGTCCAAAGAATCTAGGGTATAGGACTGAGTAAGGCTGGTTCATGACAGTGATGTACTGGAATTTCTGGCAAGAATTTTTGTTACCGGGAAATTTGAAGAAGAGATAAAGTATAAATAAAATATAAAAATATAAAAGAGATAAATGATAAAGCCACACA